CCAAAACCCCAAAACCCCAAAACCCCAAAACCCCAAAACCCCAAAACCCCACCTGATAAAATACGCTCTTGATAGTTAATTTAAATTTTACTTATATTTATTATAATTATCACATCTTCTCTTGCTCCTACTATTCTATGGGTGTTCACTATCATCATAATAACTATCTCAATTTACTAGATTTCATTGCTTGGCTGGAGCTTTACCGTGGAACTCTTTGACTGGTTTGAAGTATGGGTGATCCATTGCGTCCTTTGGTGTGATTCTCTCTGCATGGTCATACTTTAGCATCTTGCTTAGCAAGTCTAATGCCTCTTCACTAACTAAGTGCTCGTTGGCTGAATTGATAAACTTGTGCCATGGTTTCTTGGTGTGTTGACCTAGGATGTCGTCATAGTGAGAGTCTAGGGTGATGTTGTATTTTTCGATGTAAGCGTAGAGCTCCTCTGTTCCCAAGATCTTTGCGATCTTAACTAACTGATCATAGTTATCCTTGCCTTGGAAAAATGGCTCTTTTTGGAAAATCATGCCAGCAAACATACATCCTAATGACCAAATATCTAGTGAATAATCATATGTTTAGAGGTCGATTAGAAGCTCTGGTCCCTTGAAGTATCTTGAAGCAACTCTGACGTTGTATTCTTGTCCTGGATGATAGAACTCAGCGAGACCCCAATCGATTAATCTGAGCTTGCGAGAGGCGTGATCAATCATAATATTGTGAGGCTTAACATCACGGTGAGTAATACCCTTTGAGTGGCAGAAGTCAAGAGCCTTGAGAATTTCGTACATATAGTAGCGGATATCGAAATCAGTGAAGCTCTTGTAAAGAGTCCTGAAGTCAACATCGCCAGTGTCAACGTATTCCATGATAAGAGCGGGGGTCTTAGTCATTGGGTCACGAACGACATCAATTAAGTTGATGATGTTGATGCCATTCTTCAGAGTTTGTAAAATCTTAATTTCTCTTCTGATTTTGGTCTTCTTAACTAAAAATAACTTATTAATAACAGTCTTTCTCGTAAATGTTAAGAGAATGAAGAGGCTAAGGCACTTACCAGGCTTGAGAATCTTGATAACAATACGCTCATTATTTGCAGTATTGATGCCTTCATAGACCTCAGAATATTTACCACGACCAATCTTCTTGATGATCTCATAATTCTCCTGAGAGCTATAAATGTTGTTAGGATATTAAATAATTACCCAAATTTGACCTCATAATTTTCATAATCTGAGTATTCAGGTGGCATCTCTTCGCACACAGTTGCGTAGTACTTTGGCAAGTTCATTTTTTTCAAATTTAATATTTAATTAATAGATTGCAAAATTTGAATTAAATACTTCTTTTATTCTGTCTTCTAAGCTAATTTATCTAAGGTTATTATTAAAATTATTAACTTTAATGAAAGTTTTCCAAAACTTATTGAAAAGTGCCTCTAGTGGAGTATTAATTCATAGTTGCTTGCTTACTTGTCTATATAGGGTCTTATGAAATCTCGCAGAGTTTTCAAAGCTTACGAGATTAAGGAATACAAGGAAATGATCTCCATTTTATCGACCATCAGTGCTGACACTTTCCAAGAAATCAAGTAGGAAGACATGACTATTCTGCATCATGCAGCTTTTGATGGAGATATTGAGGCAGTTGGGATGATGACTACTCTACCTTACTTCAAGGATATCGTGAATACCAACAATAATAATGTAAAATAGACCATCCTTCTAATTAGTCAATCTTTGTAGTCAGGATGGACTCCTTTATTGTGGGCTTCTTCATAGAAGAATGTGAGCATGGTCAAGTTTTTGCATGAGAATGGAGCCGAGTTATTGCAGCCAAAGAAGGATGGCTTTACATCTTTGCATGTTGCTTCTAGTGGCAATGATGTGCACACACTTGATTACGTTATCAAGAAAAAGGAAACCAACTCAATTGATCTTGTTAATTAAGACGTAAGTGAATAAGATCTATATTATCAACTAAATGATTTATTGGTTTAACACAATGATTGTTTAGGGTTGGACTCCAGCTCATTTAGCATCATTTTTGGGAAACTTTGATGCTCTTAACTTGTTGATTGAAAACGGTTCAGACTTGAGCAGAAAGCACTTTCACAATATGAATTGTTTCGATGAGATCGTGAGAAATGACAATAAAGATCTATTTGAGTGTGTTTATACCCTCACTAAGAATATGAAAAGAAATCTAAAGCTAGTAAGATAAAGTACTTTTAAATATGGCTAATTTTAGGCTGGCGCATTTTCAATAGTGCATTTAGCTTCAGGTAATACAGGCAGCAAATGCTTGAAATTTCTTCTTGAGCAAGGAGAGTCAGCAAACTAAATCTGCAATGAATTTGATAAAGCTACGCCTCTACACTTTGCGGTTCTTTGTAATAACTACGATAATGCTAAGCTGCTTTTGAGGCACAATGCAAGTCCTAACTAGAAAGATTCTGTAAGTCATTTTGATATGTGTAATAATACCTGAAGGCAGGAAATACTCCTATGCATTTTGCAGTAATGGCTCAAAACCTGTCTATGGTAAGAATGCTAGATGAGTACAATGCGGATGCCTAAATAAAAAATTTAGAAGAGATCTGCCCGATAGATATAGCTATAAGCTAAGACCTTAGAGACATTAAACTTCACTTCATGGCTTAGACAAAATATAGATCATTTGATTTTCAAGGAGTTAACTGATTAGAGGTTATCACAAAACCATTAATAAATAGATTAGCAGTTTCTTTATCGTATTTTTAATTAAGCTTAAAGATATATAGCAAATAATATAGACGGGGTTTTGGGGTTTTGGGGTTTTGGGG